AAGGGCCTAGCGTGTGCAAAATTGCAAGAGCAAGGGCCTAGCGTGTGCAAAATTGCAAGAACAAGGGCCTAGCGTGTGCAAAAAAAAAAGAACAAGGGCATAGCGTGATCAAAATAGCAAGAACAAGGGCCTAGCGTGTGCAAAATAAAAAGAACAAGGGCCTAGCATGTGCAAAATAAAAAGAACAAGGGCCTAGCGTGTGCAAAATTGAAAGAACAAGGGCCTAGCGTGTGCAAAATTGCAAGAACAAGGGCCTAGCGAATGCAAAATAGCAAGAGCAAGGGCCTAGCGTGTGCAAAAAATCAAGAACAAGGGCCTAGCTTTCGCGAAATAGCAAGAGCAAGGGCCTAGTGTGTGCAAAATAAAAGAACAAGGGTCTAGCATGTGCAAAATTGCAAGAACAAGGGCCTCGCGTGTGCAAAATAAAAAGAACAAGGGCATAGCGTATGCAAAATAGCAAGAACAAGGGCCTAGCGTGTGCAAAATAAAAAGAACAAGGGTCTAGCATGTGCAAAATTGCAAGAACAAGGGCCTAGCGTGTGCAAAAAAAAAAGAACAAGGGCATAGCGTGTGCAAAATAGCAAGAACAAGGGCCTAGCGTGTGCAAAATAAAAAGAACAAGGGCCTAGCGTGTGCAAAATAAAGAGAACAAGGGCATTGCATGTGCAAAATAAAAAGAACAAGGGCCTAGCGTGTGCAAAATAAAAAGAACAAGGGCCTAGCGTGTGCAAAATTGCAAGAGCAAGGGCCTAGCGTGTGCAAAATTGCAAGAACAAGGGCCTAGCGTGTGCAAAAAAAAAAGATCAAGGGCATAGCGTGATCAAAATAGCAAGAACAAGGGCCTAGCGTGTGCAAAATAAAAAGAACAAGGGCCTAGCATGTGCAAAATAAAAAGAACAAGGGCCTAGCGTGTGCAAAATTGAAAGAACAAGGGCCTAGCGTGTGCAAAATTGCAAGAACAAGGGCCTAGCGAATGCAAAATAGCAAGAGCAAGGGCCTAGCGTGTGCAAAAAATCAAGAACAAGGACCTAGCGTTCGCGAAATAGCAAGAGCAAGGGCCTAGTGTGTGCAAAATAAAAAGAACAGGGGTCTTGCATGTGCAAAATTGCAAGAACAAGGGCCTAGCGTGTGCAAAATAAAAAGAACTAGGGCATAGCGTATGCAAAATAGCAAGAACAAGGGCCTAGCGTGTGCAAAATAAAAAGAACAAGGGCCTAGCGTGTGCAAAATAAAAAGAACAAGGGTCTAGCATGTGCAAAATAGCAAGAACAAGGGACTAGCGTGTGCAAAATAAAAAGAACAAGGGCCTAGCGTGTGCAAAATAAAAAGAACAAGGGCCTAGCGTGTGCAAAATTGAAAGAACAAGGGCCTAGCATGTGCAAAATAAAAAGAACAAGGGCATAGCGTGTGCAAAATAGCAAGAACAAGGGCCTAGCGTGTGCAAAATAAAAAGAACAAGGGCCTAGCGTGTGCAAAATAAAAAGAACAAGGGCCTAGCGTGTGCAAAATTGAAAGAACAAGGGCCTAGCGTGTGCAAAATTGCAAGAACAAGGGCCTAGCGAATGCAAAATAGCAAGAGCAAGGGCCTAGCGTGTGCAAAAAATCAAGAACAAGGGCCTTGCGTTCGCAAAATAGCAAGAGCAAGGGCCTAGTGTGTGCAAAATAAAAAGAACAAGGGTCTAGCATGTGCAAAATTGCAAGAACAAGGGCCTAGTGTGTGCAAAATAAAAAGAACTAGGGCATAGCGTATGCAAAATAGCAAGAACAAGGGCCTAGCGTGTGCAAAATAAAAGAACAAGGGCCTAGCGTGTGCAAAATAAAAGAACAAGGGTCTAGCATGTGTAAAATTGCAAGAACAAGGGCCTAGCGTGTGCAAAAAAAAAAGAACAAGGGCACAGCGTGTGCAAAATAGCAAGAACAAGGGCCTAGCGTGTGCAAAATAAAAAAGAACAAGGGCCTAGCGTGTGCAAAATAAAAAGAACAAGGGCATTGCATGTGCAAAATAAAAAGAACAAGGGCCTAGCGTGTGCAAAATAAAAAGAATAAGGGCCTAGCATGTGCAAAATTGCAAGAACAAGGGCCTAGCGTGTGCAAAATTGCAAGAACAAGGGCCTAGTGATTGCAAAATAGCAAGAGCAAGGGCCTAGCGTGTGCAAAAAATCAAGAACAAGGGCATAGCATTCGCGAAATAGCAAGAACAAGGGCCTAGCGTGTGCAAAATAAAAAGAACAAGGGCCTAGCGTGTGCAAAATTGCAATAAAAAGGGCCTAGCGTATGCAAAATTGCAAGAACAAGGGCCTAGCAAGTGCAAAATAGCAAGAGCAAGGGCCTAGTGTGTGCAAAAAATCAAGAACAAGGGCCTAGCGTTCGCGAAATAGCAAGAACAAGGGCCTAGCGTGTGCAAAATAAAAAGAACAAAGGTCTAGCATGTGCAAAATTGCAAGAACAAGGGCCTAGCGTGTGCAAAATAAAAAGAACAAGGGCCTAGCGTGTGCAAAATAAAAAGAACAAGGGCCTAGCGTGTGCACAATTGCAAGAACAAGGGCCTAGCGTGTGCAAAATTGCAAGAACAAGGGCCTAGCGAGTGCAAAATAGCAAGAGCAAGGGCCTAGCGTGTGCAAAAAATCAAGAACAAGGGCCTAGCGTTCGCGAAATAGCAAGAACAAGGGCATAGCGTGTGCAAAATAAAAAGAACAAGGGTCTAGCATGTGCAAAATTGCAAGAACAAGGGCCTAGCGTGTGCAAAATAAAAAGAACAAGGGCATAGCGTGTGCAAAATAGCAAGAACAAGCGCCTAGCGTTTGCAAAATTACAAGAACAAGGGCCTAGCGTGTGCAAAATTGCAAGAACAAGGGCCTAGTGATTGCAAAATAGCAAGAGCAAGGGCCTAGCGTGTGCAAAAAATCAAGAACAAGGGCCTAGCATTCGCAAAATAGCAACAACAAGGGCCTAGCGTGTGCAAAATAAAAAGAACAAGGGTCTAGCATGTGCAAAATTGCAAGAACAAGGGCCTAGCGTGTGCAAAATAAAAAGATCAAGGGCATAGCGTGTGCAAAATAGCAAGAACAAGGGCCTAGCGTGTGCAAAATAAAAAGAACAAGGGCCTAGCGTGTGCAAAATAAAAAGAACAAGGGCCTAGCGTGTGCAAAATTGCAAGAACAAGGGCCTAGCGAGTGTAAAATAGCAAGAGCAAGGGCATAGCGTGTGCAAAAAATCAAGAACAAGGGCCTAGCGTTCGCGAAATAGCAAGAGCAAGGGCCTAGTGTGTGCAAAATAAAAAGAACAAGGGTATAGCATGTGCAAAATTGCAACAACAAGGGCCTAGCGTGTGCAAAATAAAAAGAACTAGGGCATAGCGTATGCAAAATAGCAAGAACAAGGGCCTAGCGTGTGCAAAATAAAAAGAACGAGGGCCTAGCGTGTGCAAAATAAAAAGAACAAGGGCCTAGCGTGTGCAAAATAAAAAGAACAAGGGCCTAGCGTGTGCAACATAAAAAGAACAAGGGCATAGCGTGTGCAAAATAGCAAGAACAAGGGCCTAGCGTGTGCAAAATATAAAGAACAAGGGCCTAGCGTGTGCAAAATAAAAAGAACAAGGGCCTAGCGTGTGCAAAATTGCAAGAACAAGGCCCTAGCGTGTGCAAAATTGCAAGAACAAGGGCCTAGCGAGCGCAAAATAGCAAGAGCAAGGGCCTAGCGTGTGCAAAATAAAAAGAACAAGGGCCTAGCGTTCGCGAAATAGCGAGAACAGGGGCCTAGCGTGTGCAAAATAAAAAGAACAAGCGCCTAGCGTGTGCAAAATAAAAAGAACAAGGGCCTAGCGTTCGCGAAATAGCAAGAACAAGGGCCTAGCATGTGCAAAATAAAAAGAACAAGGGTCTAGCTGTCAGAACATATCTATAGCTTATACTGCTGTGTAGGCTGTAGTGGGGTATCCCATAGGGGGTACAACCCAGTTAGGGTTTCATATTTGTACTGCTTTCATTCATAGTTCATCCATTCCTGCTTACTCATTTTCACATGGTATAGAGCTAGGTCCCTCCAGGACCGAATTTTTTTTGGGCCCACCGAAGCGCGCCCCCGAGGCGCGATTTTTTTTAGCGACCCCTCGAGTCGCCCTCTCCCCTGCGGCCTCGCCGCCCACTCTGTAGCGGCCCCGCCCTGCTCCTTACGCGGCCCCGCCGCCTGCTCCTTACGCGGCCCCGCCCCGGCCCTTACGCGGCCCCGCGTCGCCTCCTACGCGGCCCTTACGCGGCCCCGCGCCGGCCCCTTACGCGGCCCTTACGCGGCCCTTACGCGGCCACGCCGCCGGCTCCTTACACGGCCCCGCGCCGGCCCCTTACGCGGCCCTTACGCGGCCCTTACGCGGCCACGCTGCCGGCCCCTACGCGGCTCCGCACCGGCTCCTACGCGGCTCTTACGCGGCCCCGCGCCGGCCCCCCCCCCCTTACGCGGCCCTGACGCGGCCACGCCGCCGGCTCCTACGCGGCCCCGCGCCGGCTCTCACGCGGCCCCGCAGCTGGCTCCTACTCGGCCCCGCAGCCGGCCCCTTAAGCGGCCCCACCGCCGGCCTCCTACTCGGCCCTGCCCCGGCTCCTATCACGGCCCCGCCCCGGCTCCTTCGCGGCCCTGCCCCGGCTCCTACGCGGCCCTACCGCCGGCCCTGACGCGGCCCCGCCCCGTCTCACTTCTACGCGACCCGAGCCGCCTGTCGCCGAGCAGCCCGGGACCCGAGCCGCCCTGCAGCCAAGCCGCCCGGGAGCCGAGCCGCCCTGCACCCGAGCCGCCCTGCAGCCGAGCCGCCCGGGAGCCGAGCCGCCCTGCACCCGAGCAGCCCTGCCGTCGAGCCGCCCGGGAGCCGATCCGCTGTACACCCGAGCCGCCCGGTCGCCGTTCTGCTTTTCTGTCGAGCTGCGCGACCTGCCCTGCCTGGTGAGCACAGTCCCACTGTCACTGCGTGCTCTCCCCCCTACTGCTCGCACTGCTTCACAGTCGTCGTCATGGCTACCCCTAGTGTCCTAGCTTTTGACGCTGAGGGTCGCGCCATTGATTTTGAGGTCTGGCTAGACGACCTGCAGCTGTTCTTACAGTGCGACAGGGCTGATGACCTTTCTCTCTTTGACCTCACCTCTGGCGCCTCTCCTGCTCCTGCTGCTGATGCTGATCCCGCTGTCCGCTCTAAGTGGGCCACCCGCGATGCTGCTGCACGTCTTGCTGTGCGTCGCCACCTCCCTACCTCTGAGCGTGTGCACTTTAGTCAGTACAAGAGTGCTCAGACCTTGTACGACGCTGTAGTTGCGCGCTACTCCTCCCCTGCCACTGCTGCCCTGAGCCGTCTCATGCTTCCCTACCTCTTTCCTGACCTCTCTGCCTTTCCCACTGTCGCTGACCTCATTACGCACCTCCGCACTAGTGACACTCGCTACCGCGCCGCCCTTCCTGCTGAGTTCTGCGCTAGGAACCCCCCTCCCATGTACATCGCTCTCTACTACGTAGTCGCGCGCCTCCCTGACTCCCTTCGCGTCGTCAGGGACCACTTTCTCGCAGTCTGTCCCGCCACTCTCACGGTCGACCTCCTCGAGAAGGCCCTCCTTGCAGCGGAGAAGAGCATAGTCGCTGTAGGTGCTTCTCGTGGTGACCCTCGCACCCCCATCTTTGAGGGGTGCTCTCCTTCCCCCTTGCTGCCCTCTGTTGCCTCTGCTGCTGCTGCCGACCTGCTTGGTCTTGAGTCGGTCGGCGCGGCGTCTGCCCCTAGTGGGAGACGTCGCTCTAGCAAGGGCAAGGGAGGCAAGGGCGCGGGTGGAGCTGGGGGGGGCGGTGGCGGTGGCGGCGGTGGCGGCGGAGGGAGTGGGGGTGGCGGCGGGACTAGTGGCGGGGGTGGTGGTGGTGGTGGTGGCAGCAGCGGCGGAGACGGTGGTGGTGGTGCCAGCGGTGGTGGTGGAGGCAGCGGCGGAGGTGGAGGCGGCGGAGGTGGAGGCAGTGGAGGCGGCAGCGGCGGAGGCAGTAGTGGTGGAGGAGGTGGAGCTGGTCGGGGTGGTACCCAGCAGCGTAGCGGCGGTGGCGGTGGCCAGCGCTCGCACCGGCAGCAGCAGCAGCGCTCACGGGACATCCCTTCGCCTCAGCAGCTTCGTGAGTGGTACGCTGGGCGTCAGAGGGGTGGGGGTACTGGTCCCTGCACCTACGTTCTTCGTTCCGGCGACCGCGCGGGTGAGCAGTGTGGGGGTGCCCACGCCACCCAGCGCTGCTTTGGCTGCCTGACGGACGCCTGGCGTCAGCAGTTCCCTGGGGCTAGTGAGATCCCTCGCTGGGATGAGCTTCTCAGGGCTGGTGTAGCGATCTTTGATCTTGATTTTGATGCTATCCTTACTGCTATGTATGTTGTGGATTATAGTGAGGAGAATGAGGGTTACCGGTGTTTCCAGCCCGACCCGGGCATTGGTACTGCTGCGCTAGGTACTTGTGAGGCTGCTGCTCTAGGTGCCAGTGCGTCTGCGCTCTCAGGTACTGGTGAGACTGCGTTCTCAGGTACTGAGTCGTCCTCGTCCTCCCTCACTTTCACACTTGACTCCGGAGCTTCTCGCTCCTTTCGAGACCGCACTACCCTTTCGCCGCTCGCCAGGCCGGTTGCGGTCTCCCTTGCTGACCCCTCTGGGGGTCCTGTCCTGTCTCACTTCTCCACTGTCCTCCCGTGTCCGGCTGCCCCTTCGGGCACCCTGTCTGGTCTGTACCTTCCCTCGTTCTCTACGAACTTGGTGAGTGGAGCGGACCTGCAGGATGGGGGTGTTCACCAGTTCACTCCTGCGCGTCAGCGGGTGACCCACTGCACGGAGGCTCGCACAGGCCGACACCTGGCCACGTTCTCGCGTCGGCCGGGGTCGAGTCTCTACACCCTGACCGTTGAGTCTCCTCCTGTCCCTGCGTCTGGTCAGGTGGCTGCGTCGGGTCAGGTACTTGCTGCTGCGTCCCGGTCAGGTCCTGAGTCTGCCCCCTGTTCTTGTCGCCTCCTGTCTCACGAGACTCTCCTGTGGCACCACCGTCTTGGCCACCCCTCCTTGCCCCGTCTTCGGAGCATGGCTTCCCGTGTCCTTGTCTCTGGTCTTCCCCAGTCTCTCCCTCCTCTCCCCTCCGGGCCAGGACCTTCCTGTGTCCCCTGTGTCGAGGGTCGCCTCCGGGCTACTCCTCACTCCTCCCACTTCCCCCCGACAGAGGCTCCCCTGCAGACGCTTCACATGGATGTGTGGGGCCCAGCCCCCGTCCGTGGGCAGGGTTACGAGCGATACTTCCTGTTGGTGGTTGACGACTACTCGCGTTACACCACAGTCCTCCCCTTGCGCAGCAAGGGTGCGGTCACTGAGGTGCTGATCGACTGGATCCGCGAGGCTCGTCTCCAGCTCAGGAAGAGCTTCGGCTCGGACTTTCCTGTTATGCGTCTGCACTCTGACAGAGGCGGAGAGTTCTCTTCTCGCCTTCTGCGAGACTACTGTCGTGCATGGGGGATCCGCCAGACCTTCACGCTTCCGGACTCACCACAGCAAAATGGGATTGCTGAGCGCCGCATTGGCATGGTCATGGATGTCGCTCGTACGTCCATGATGCATGCGGCTGCCCCCCATTTTCTGTGGCCGTTTGCGGTGAGGTACGCGGCGCATCAGCTCAACCTTCACCCCCGGGTCTCTCGGCCTGCGATGTCCCCAGTCTTGATGTGGACAGGGAAGGTTGGCGATGCGTCTGTGTTCCGTGTCTGGGGATCTCGGGCGTTTGTCCGCGACTTGTCTGCGGACAAGCTGTCCCCTCGTGCTGCTCCCTGTGTCTTTCTTGGCTTCCCCACTGACGCCCCAGGGTGGCAGTTTTACCACCCCTCCTCTCGTCGTGTTCTGTCCTCCCAGGACGTCACGTTCGACGAGTCAGTCCCCTTCTACCGTCTCTTCCCCTACCGCACTCCTTCCCTCCCCCCTCCCCCGGACTTCCTTGTGCCGGTTCCCCCCCCGGTAGACCCCCTCCCCCCTCAGGTTCCTGCCCCCTCAGGTGTGTCCCAGGTAGACGCCGTTGACCCGGTCGAGGTTACTGGTGACTCTGGTCCTGCTGCGGGTGCTGAGCCTGGGGGTGCTGACTCTGCGGGTACTGTGCGCGGGGGTGCTGTGCCTGGGGGTGCTACTGCTGGGGGTGCTGGGCCTGAGGGTGCTACTGCGGTGGGTGCGGAGCCTGGGGGTGCTGAGCCGGGGGGTGCTGTGCCTGGAGGTGCTGGGTCTGGGGGTGCTGGGTCGGGAGCTGCTGAGCCTGGGGGGTGCTGAGCTGGGAGCTGCTGAGCCTGGGGTTTCTCCTGCTGCTGCGTCTCGCCGGGAGCCCCTCTCTCCACAGGAGCTGCGCGAGTGGTTCGCTCGCCGCTGGAGGCGTGCTGCTGAGTCTGGAGGTGCTGCTGGGGCTGGAGCTGGAGCTTCTTCGATCGTCGAGGGTGCGGGTGCTGCCGGTCCCGGAGCTGCTGGACCTGCGGGTCCTCCTGGAGCTGGAGCTGCTGAGGGCGTTCGTGCTGAGCCTGCTGCTGTTGGTCCTGCCGCTGGAGGTGTGGGTGGCGCTGGTGCTGTCGCTGAGGGTGCTGGTGCTGTCCCTGCTGAGACTGGAGCTGCCGCGCGGCCTCGGCCGTACTTCGTTCCGCTCCTTCAGCAGGTTCTTGGTCTTTCTCCTCAAGTAGAGGGTCCACCGCCTGTCCAATCGCAGTCCCTACTGGAGCCTTCCTCTCCACTGCCTGCTCCCTCTCCTTACACTGGTCCTACTGGAGGTCTTGCTGAGCGTCGTGAGCCTGCGTCTCGCCCCGCGTCGCCTGTTCGTGCTGCTCGCGCTAGTGGTCGCAATTCGCGTCAGCGTCCTCCTCCTGTCCCTGGCACGCACCGGATGTCTCTGCGTCCGTCCACTGCTCCTCTGCGTGCCCCTTTGCCTTCTCCTCCTGAGTCCTCTCTTCCTGCGCTTGCCGACCCTGAGTCGGACTCTCTTCGCGCTGCGAGTCCTACTGTCACGCGTCTGCTTGCTACTGTCGTCACTGACCCCTCTTTTGAGTCCACTGCTGCGTCTGCTCTAGTCGCAGAGCTCGTCGACTTTGCTGCTCGCTGTCGTCTCGACTACGCTGCTAGTCTTGTTGCTGAGTCTGCGTCTGTCTGTCCTCCGTCCGTCGGGGGTGAGTGTGCTCTTGGCACGGACGTCCTAGAGGACAGGCAGGAGGAGTTACAGTGTCTAGCGGCTGCTTCACCTCATCTCGCGTCTGTACTGCTTGCCCCTGAGGGAGACCCGGATGCACTAGACATCCCGACTCCGCGTTCTTACGCGGAGGCCGTAGAGGGCCCCTACTCCTCTCAGTGGCAGGCAGCCATGGATGCAGAGATGGCTTCCTGGAAGTCCACAGGCACCTACGTTGACGCGGTTCCCCCTCCTGGGGCGAACATCGTCAGTGGCATGTGGATCTTCAGGGTGAAGCGGCCGCCGGGCTCTCCACCTGTCTTCAAGGCACGGTACGTTGCTCGTGGCTTCAGTCAGCGGCAGGGAGTTGACTACTTTCAGACCTTCTCTCCCACCCCGAAGATGACTACTCTTCGGGTGCTGCTGCACATAGCCGCTCAGCGCGACTACGAGCTTCACTCTCTCGACTTCAGCACTGCGTTCTTGCAGGGTAGCCTGCACGAGGAGATCTGGCTTCGCCGTCCACCTGGCTTCACTGGA